CTCTGTTTTCCAGGAAAAGGTTTGGGTTTGTCTTAGCGCCGCTGGGAAGGTGGCCCTGCTGCCATTTCTGCCCCGCCGCTAAACGAGCTGTTGGCAAGTTGAAAACGTTGGGGTTGTTTGAGGGATGGTGACTTCCATCAACCCCAGAGGAAAGCACCACGTGCCACCATCGGGCACCGTCTGTGTGGTAACCCTGATTTTTTTTTAAGTGCTGTGGGTCCTATCCCAATCTCACCACGACGGGGTACGGCTTGCAATGGTGCCAGTGCTCTCCGGAGGTGTCAGAACAAAAAACGAGGGTTGTAAGAGCAGGATTTAAAACTTTTTTTGTCCTACCTAGACCCTGCTGTCTGCTGAACTCCGTCGTGGGTCAGCGACATGGCGACGCTTGCCATCGTGTGGCACTTAAAACGCTTCCCAGCGTTACAGGGTAGCACATGAGGGCTGGGGGGGTTTAAATTGCAGCAGAAATGGTCTTTCCTGTGGAGGGAGCAGTAAGAGACTGGTGCCTCCAGCTCGGAGATGGTCCTCTCTTGATGGTGTTGGTACCAGTCCCGCTGTCTTGTCCCGGGCTCTGGCCCCTTTCCTTTTCGAAGACACTGGTCTCACTATGGCATCCATCCGTCTTGTCTCCCTGCAGCCTGCGATCACTGCCTGCGGGCTTTGGAGACGGCAGAGGAAAACGCCCAGCGACTGCTGGGGAAGAGCTCGCTGGTGCTGCCTCACCCGGAGCAGTGCAGCATCCGGAAAGACCTGCACCAGCAGTGTCCCCAGTGCCAGGTATGGGGCTACTGGGAGGGACCGTGGTCTTGTTGGGGTCGCTGACTCCTTTACAGCATCTAGCCAGGCACTTGCGCTGCCCCGAGATGGGTGTCTGCCTTTCCCTTCTGCATCGCTAAAGAGCTGGGGCTCAGATGGGCCTAGGACCTCCTTTTCCTGCTGCCGTAGCCAATGCTGGGCGCTGTGCCCCTCGCTCTAGGTGACGTACTGCAGCGCTGAATGCAGGCAGGCCGCTTTGGAGCAGTACCACCAGGTCCTCTGCCTTGGCCCATCCCGTGACGACCCCACGCACCCCCTCAACAAGCTGCAGGAGGCATGGAGGTAGGGGACCGACCTGCCTGTTGCTCCACGGGCAGAGGAGGTGGCTCTCCTGGGCTGGGTGATGCTGCCTGGGACCAGGGCTGAGGACCATCCTTGCTTTTCATCCCTGCATGGGGTGGCTGGAGGGTGGTGGTGGCCGTGGGACACTGCCCAGCTCTACCTGCTGGTTGGGCAGCAGGTGAATTTGTGTTGGCAGCGCAAGGGTTTGGACACATGGCTGAGCAGTTGTTCTTTTTCTCCCACTAAACAGCTACAAAGCACTGAGCTTCGCATCCCTCATTCCTGCAATTTTATAGTCCTCCTGCAGATCTCCAGCCTCTGGGAGATCCTCCTTGTAGCACCCCTGCGGGTAGATAAATTGCTGTCCCTGCTTGCAGGTGACAAGAATGGGCACAGAGGGGAGAAGTGACATCCCCGACCCAAAGCTCGTCACAAACTACAGCACTCGCTGCAGTCCTGGGCTTTGTAGGGTTCCCAGGCTCTAGTTTAGCAGGGTGGTAGGGGATTATTTGTATGCTCAGAGCAGGCAGATGGGTGCAGGCTTTTCCTCGCCCCGAGCAGCGCTGGATCCCCACGCAGCGATGCTGCCCTGGCCGCTTTGGTGTGACAGATGAGTGCGGGGCTGGCCATGTGGATGGCAGCTGCCTCTGCCTCCCTCCAGCTTTTTACTTCCCTACCAGCACTGACCTGCTCATCTCTTTTCTTCATTCTTATCCCCCAGAAACATGCATTATCCACCAGAGACTTCCAGCATCATGTTGATGGCCCGGATGGTCGCCACTGTCAAACAGGTACGTCTGCAGTTTGGAGCCACAGCCGTCGGCATGTGGTTTCCTCATCCTGTTGTGGCTGTTACTCCCAAGGACTCATCTCTGGCGACCGGCGGGGCCCTGCTTGAATAGATTTCAACGTCTAGGGGTCCCTGGTCATGGAGACAGCAGGCAGGAAAGGAGGTTCCTATGTCCTGAGCCAAGCAGGTCTTTTTTTCCATACCAAAATAGCTAGTTGGAACTGAACCTTTCCTTTGGCTCTGTTTCTTTGGCCTGGCTTTCTCAGCATTTATTCTGACAATAAACCACCACCACGTGACTGCTTCTGGTGGTTTTTGATAGCAGGCTGGATACCTCTGAGCTCAGCGGGGCTTGTCCTCCCTCTCTCCTGGCTGGGGAGGAAAGCGGTGTCGGTGCAATGCCTTTGCTTGATTCCTTTGTCAGGCTAAAGACAAGGAGTGGTGGATCAAGGCCTTCTCCCAGTTCTGCAGTAAGACAGCAAATGAAGAAGAGGAGATTGTGCACAAGCTGCTGGGGGACACATTTAAGGTAAGAGCCTGGCAGCGCTTGGATGCGTTGAATCCCTGAACCTGCCCTCTCCCTGCCTGTGTCTCCGAGCCCACGGGTGCAGAGGCCCCGTTACAGCTGGGATGGGAGACACTGGAAAACCCAGGCTCGAAGTGGGGGCACAAAGCCCCCCGTTAGGGGCTGGCTGACCTGACAGGGAGGAAACGGGTTACTTAGAGGGCTTTGGGCTTGTGGTGCTTCAGTGGGACACGCTGCTCGTTCCTATGCTGGAGATGCTTCTGCTGTGGGGTGGGACATGGCGATACTAGCTTTTGCTGCTAAAATGAGTGGCTTTTGCTGCTCTGAGGGCAGCAGCCTCCAGCCTTGCAGGGGAGGATGAGGAGCCTGACTCCTGAGCCTTCTAGCCCGTGCTGGGCTCGGCCATCAGCCTGGGTCTGACTCCCAGCGGCATCTCCCCACCCTGACGGTGTTGCCATGTCCTGCCAGGGCCAGCTGGAGCTGCTGCGGTTGCTCTTCACCGAAGCCCTTTACGACGAGTATCTCAGCAAGGTGAGTTGAGCCGCCTCCCGACTAGCCCAGGAGCGTGGCGGGACCCTCCGCTTGGTGCCAGCCCCCCTGGGTCATGTCTGCCCTGAAGGCCAGGGCTTTCCCTGGGACTCTGCCCATTCCTTGCTTCCCCCAAAGCTCCTGGTGGGATTTGAGGCACTTGCAGAGTGGGGTGCTGCCGCAGGCTGGCCTGGGCTCAGCTGCTTTTTCATCTCCCTTCTGCAGTGGTTCACTCCAGAAGGCTTTCGATCCCTCTTTGCCCTCGTTGGGACCAATGGCCAAGGCATAGGAACAAGGTAATGGGGCTTTCTGGGTGCTCCTTGCAGAGCAGCAGAGATGTGGCGTGGACGGGATGTACAGTCTGTAAATCCATGCTGGCCTGGGTAACTGCTGGGTTCAGACATAAGAGAGGGGGATGGAGAGGCAAACTTGAAAGCAATCCTTCATCTTGGCTGTGTCCAACCTTTTCATAGTATCATCGAATCGTTTAGGTCGGGAAAAGACCTTTAAGATCATCAAGTCCAACCATTAACCTAGCAAGACCAAGTCCACCACTAAACCAATTAAGGGGAGAGTAGCAATTTCATGTGTCCTGGCTTGGTGGCTGGATTATTTTTTAATGAAAGTAAAAGCAGGAATCGCTAAGGTCGGAAAGGACCCCTAAGATCATCAGTCCACCTGTCAACCCAACACGACCATGCCCACTAAACCATGTCCCAGAGTGCCATGTCTGTCCATTTGCTGACCGCCTCCAGGGATGGGGACTCCACCACCTGTCTGGGCAGCCTGTTCCAGTGCTTTCGCATCCCTCTGCCAGACTTTGGCCACTCAGAGCCACTGATTTGAACCCCTGTATCCCCCCTGCGAGGTCCCACCGTGTGCCGACAGCACTGTGGGAATGTAACGGTGTCCCTCTGCTTCCCGACAGCTCTCTGAGCCAGTGGGTGCACGCTTGCGATGCGCTAGATCTCCCCATGCTGCAGCGCGAGGAGCTGGACGCCTTCATCGACCAGCTCTACAAGGACATCGAGAAGGGTGAGGCTCTGATGTGGCTGTGGGCAGCGTCAAGCAGGGTCGTTTTCAGGAGACCGCTGGAGACTCTTCCCAGCATTCAGGGAATAGGAGAGGTTTCCACTGGGAACTGGGAGATCCCACTTCCCCTGGTCCATGTAAGCCATGCCTGCTGCCTTTGGCTTGCTGCGTGGATAGGGCAAGTCCACATTTATGGGCAGTGCGACCTGCGGCAGGTCGGGGTGGCTGGAGGGCTGATCTGGAGGGATCCTGTGCGGAAAAGTCCCATTTACACTAAACGTTCAAAGACCTGTTTATCGCTTTTTTTGACTGAGGCAGCTGTGTGAGTACAGGGACAGGCCAGGGAGCGCAGACTTGAACTGGGGGTGCAAATCTTTGTGTCCTCCATCCCCTGCCGGTGGGGAGGGAAGGGTGTTTTGGAAACCATCCTCCAACACCCGGCCCCCAAAGTAACGCTGGCTGGGTGCATTCAGCGTTGATGGATATCCCTTCGTGCTCGCGCTGAGCTGTGCGCATTGAAGAGCCAGAACGTTCCATGCAAAGCTCTAACCCCCCCTCTCTGTGCTGCAGAGTCAGGAGAGTTCCTCAACTGTGAGGGATCGGGTCTCTACGTGCTCCAGAGCTGCTGTAAGTAACACAAGGACTGGGAGGAAAACTGGTAGTGAGGAGGGAGATGTCCTGGGCTAGACTGGCTTACCTCTTCCTAAAAGCTTCTGGAGAGAGGGGTTTGTGCTCCCCATCCATGGGATGGGATGGGATGAATCACAGAATCGTAGAGTTGTTTAGGTTGGAAAAGACCTTTAAGATCACCCAGTCCAACCATTAACCTAACGCTGCCAAGTCCACCACTAAACCAATTAAGGGGAGAGTCATAATTTCATGTGTCCTGGCTTGGTGGCTGGATTATTTTTTAATGAAAGTAAAAACTAGGAATCATAAGGTTGGAAAGGACCCCTAAGATCATCAGTCCAGCCATCAACCCAACACGACCATGCCCACTAAACCATGTCCCAAAGTGCCACCTCTGCCCATTTTTTGAACGCTTCCAGGGATGGGGACTCCCCCATCTCTCTGGGCAGCCTGGTCCAATGCTTGACCACTCTTTCTGTGAAGAAATTTGTCCCAATATCCAATCTAAACCTCCCCTGGCACAGCTTGAGACCATTTCCTCTTGTCCCGTCGCTTGTTCCTTGGGAGAAGAGCCCGACCCCCGCTCCCTATCCCCTCCTGTCAGGAGCTGCAGAGCAATAAGGTCTCCCCTCAGCCTCCTCTTCTCCAGGCTGAACACCCCCAGCTCCCTCAGCTGCTCCCCACCAGCCCTGTGCTCCAGCCCCAGCTCCGTTGCCCTTCTCTGGACATGCTCCAGCCCCTCAATGTCCTTCTTGTGCTGAGGGGCCCAAAACTGGGCACTGTATTTCAGGTGTGGCCTCCCCAGTGCTGAGTACAGGTGCATGATCCCTGCCCTGCTCCCGCTGGCCACACTGGCTGGATGGGTGCTGCCCGGGGGCCTGGCTGCTCTCTCGGGGTCCCCTGGCATCTCACCTCGCTATGAAATGGTCAGTCCTGGCTTGACTGGACTTGGATGCGATGTGGTCTCCGGGAGCCAGTTAGCAAAGAGACTGCCTCCAACCTTGTCTGAGCAAAACGGAGCTGAACAAACTGTTAAGGGAGGGAGCCTTTTTTGGCTGGGCCACGGGGACATAGGAGAGGATGTCCCAGCACCCAGAGCTGTCTTCCTTCACTCCTAAGCGTTAATGGCAGAGCGGGGACAAGCAGGGCCTGGGGACTGGCTGTGGAGCAGGGAAAAAGTGCTGCCCTGTGCATCCTTCCCTTGTGTCTGGAGGCAGAGACGGTGCTGTGAATCCCTGGGGTTGCTCCAGGACAGCTGGCTCTCTCCAAGTGGTTTTTGTGGGCTTGAGGGAGAGCCCTGACCCTGCACCCTGCTCCGCTGGACCCTGTAGTCCCCAGTGTGAGTGGAGGGTGTCACGCAGGTGTCCCCGAGGTAGATGGGGTGGCCGTGGCACTGCGCTGCCTTATCTGTAGCCAGGCCGTGGCCCTCCTGGTTGGACGCACTGGCTCCCACATGCCCGGGCCACCCAGAAGGGCAGGCACGAGCCCCATGGGCTGTGTGTGGGGTTTCTGACACTGCCACTGCCTTCCCCTTCCTCTGGAGACACCCTCACAGTTGCATCCCATCTTCCCCGTAGGTAACCACAGCTGCATCCCCAATGCCGAGACATCCTTCCCAGAAAACAACTTCCTCCTGCATCTGACGGCTCTGGAGGACATCGAAGCAGGAGAGGTGAGACAGGGGGGCCCGGATGAACTTGGGGTGGCATCGCACCTTGGCAGAGGGTCCCTGTGTCCCCTGCATCCTCCGTGGACCCCGGCCCCGTACCTCCCATCTCTTGCGTTGTCCTGGCAGAGGAATTCACGCCTCATCCCGTGCAGGGGCTGCCAGACCCTGTGTTTCTGCCTGACTCCGAGAGGAACTGCTACAAATTGCGCTGCTTTGGGTTCGTGGGAAGCGGCGCTCAGCCCGGCTCATTTCTCTTTGCTCGCAGGAAATCTGCATCAGTTATTTAGACTGCTGTCAGAGGGAGCGCAGCAGACACAGCCGCAACAAGATACTCAGGTAGGGGCTGCTTGGAGGAACCGGGGCGGGGGGGACGCGGCACCCCTTTGCACCCCCAGCGCGTCAGTCGGGGCTGCATCCCCGTGCGTGGGCTGGCGTGTAAGCCAGTGTGCTCGCGGCAGGGTGTGCGCACACAGTGGGTGCTTTTGGGCACTGTGGCAGGGTGCGCCTGTAGCACGTGATGGTTGCGGTGCTTTGAGCTCCTTGTGGTTCCTTAACGTGTTGTAGCCTTAGGGACCGAGGATTCGAGCTCTCTGCAGGCTTGCACCGCTCTGCGGTTCGCTCCTGCAAACCCTTGCTGTCCCCACCCACCTTCCTTTTCCTTCTCTGCCCTGCAAGGGTAGGGGTGCCTGCTGACGGTCACCGGCCCCACGTCTCGTCACCCCTGTGGGGCTGAGAAATCCCCCTCTCCACCCAGACTGCCTCCAACCCCACCTGAGCCCAGCGTGATTGAACCCGCAAACTCCTCCGGGTTTAACGTCGTTAGCCCCTTCCTGGCTGCTCTGTCCCCGGCCCCCTGCCTGGCAGCAGCGTTGGCGTTGCGCCCGTCTCAACCCCATCGCTCTTCTCCTTCCTTCCCTTCTTCCAGGGAGAACTACTTGTTTACCTGCTCGTGTCCCAAGTGCCTAGCGCAAGCTGACGATGCCGACGTGACGTCGGACGAAGAAGAGGAGGGCGAAGGGGAGACGGATGATGCTGAGCTGGAGGATGAGATGACTGATGTTTGATCCTGGCCCTGGGCGAGAGGAGAGGCAAGGGACGGGACGGGGTCCTCCGAGAGGCAGCAGCTTTAATACTAGAAACAGGGTTGTGTTTTGGGGTCGGGTGGGAGGCCACGTGCCGGTGGTGGGTGCGGAGGTCTGGTGGATCGGGGCAGTGGGGGAGCCGGAGGCAGGCCCTGCTCCCGCCTGTCCTTGTTGTGCGCTCTGTGTGTGTGCGTGCGTGTGTGTGCGCGTCCTGTGAGGACAGGCTGTGAGCCGGTGGCCCCCATCACGTCCCAGTGGCTGGAGGGACTGGCTGGTGCTCGCAGGGGAGGCTGGAGGAGCACGGGGTCTGGCCAGCCCCCGGGACATCACGATGGTTG